GGGAACCCTGAGAACTGTCTGTCCGGGGTGGGGGTCGGGTCCCTTTAAGCACAGCCCTCGGCTGGCCTGAGACAGCAGCTCCATGCTCTAAGTCCTAACCTGATGCCCTGCCGGCACTGCTTCCGGCCAGCCTTAACCTCGGTTCAGGGTCCACTCAATGTGGACATGCTAGTTCGAATTAGCAAAACGCTAATTCGAACTAGTTTTTAGGTCTAGATGCGCTAGTTCGAATTAACTAATTTGAATTAAGTTAGTTCGAATTAGCGCTGTAGTGTAGACCTGTAAGTGGTCTCAGCACCACCACATCCAGCAGGCAGATGAGTTACACAACCACACACCCCGTTCAGGGTCCACTCAATGTGGACATGCTAGTTCGAATTAGCAAAACGCTAATTCGAACTAGTTTTTAGGTCTAGATGCGCTAGTTCGAATTAACTAATTTGAATTAAGTTAGTTCGAATTAGCGCTGTAGTGTAGACCTGTAAGTGGTCTCAGCACCACCACATCCAGCAGGCAGATGAGTTACACAACCACACACCCCTTCCCATGGTGACAACCATGCGTCTCACAGGGCGTCCCCCAGTGTGTCCTCTGGAGGCCCTGGCTCCTTGGCTGTGTTCAAAAGGTGCCCAGGGCAACTGGAGAGGTGATTTGAAGCCATTTTTGTACTTCCCCAGTCCCGGGCTGATTGTGCAAGAGCCTGAGTGTGAATTACGTCCACCAGAAAGCTCCTCTACCCCATGCCACCAAGCAGTACTCCCAGTAGCTGGGGTTCGCTAGGGTGCAGATCCCCGCGCCGTACCCTATCGCTCCTCCCCCTGCACAGCAACAATCCTCCCAGGACAGCCTCCCAGGGAGCTTCACAGAGACATCATGGTCAATGAAAACACAACTGAGAACCAGGTACAGTCTACAAGGAAAATTAAAGACTTTCATGGCTGCAATTCTTACACACACACTCACACACCTCTCTGTAGATTCGTACCCTTAACCCTTACATAACCCTTTGCATTGTCATCCCACTGCACACATGCACAATCTAGAACAAATGGATCCACCTGTCTAAGATGGACGCCTGTGTCATTCACAGCACTGACGGCATTTGCAATGGCTCATACTCGAGTAGCAGAGGACAAACAGGAAACAGTGAATTTCCATCGGTTCTGGCACAAGGAATGTGTTAAGAAAATGATCAGCACAGTAGATTTCTTTCCCCCTCTCTCTTATCCATCATGATCAGCCTTACCCCCACCCCCATCCCCACTTCTCAGGAGCACAGAAAAGTCAACATGGACCTTGGGAGCGATTTGATTTCTAACAATTTGCAGCTGTCCCATCTGTACTTGTGTGTCGTAACTTACCACGTGGTAGATTCCGAGGACAATGGTTCCAGTCTTGATGGTGAAGCAGCAACATTTTGGGGGCATCTGGGAAGACATTTTTTATCCCTTTCGACTGTGGAGCTAAGGTTGTTGAATCCAAGGCAGCTGCACTACAGTGAACAAAAAGCGCAATGTAATATCTTGTTGCTCAACTTCCTTCCGGGTCTATAACTATGTCAAGTCATTTCCGACGTCACATGAGTTCTCTGCGATTTCCAAACCCCAGAGAAAACAAAAGCATGCTGAAAGCATCTGATTTTAAATATTGCCAATGCCTCAGCGAATGCTACTGCTTAGAGCTGCTCAGCATGGTTATGTCGTGTTAAGCACAAAGCTTGTACAATTACCAACAATAAAAGCAGGAACTAAGATTTTTCAACCTAAAATTACCCAACTAAACTCACTGTCAGTAGACCAATTTTCAGATGTGCTGATTGTTGCACGGATTCCATTGAAGCCGATGGGTGCCCCGAATATTTGTCAAATACCTGCTTTTAGGCCACTAAATAGAGAGTTAGGGTCCTAACTGAGGCACCCGCTTTTGCAAACCTTTTGACATTATGAAAATGTCAGCAAATGCCCCTTAAAGGCAAATCTGTAAGTGCAGGTTTCAGAGTAAAGACAACAACGGCCACAACAAAGCATCCGCCCACCCCGCAAAGCCCCGGACATTTTTGCGCGTGCACACACACACACACATGCACGCACACTCACATACACAGATGATCCCTAAACATATGGTCTTCTGGTGGTGGGTTTGTAAATGACCTAACCCCGTACACCCAGGTTCAAGCATATCCTAAGCCATTGCCCTGTGTGAAGGGGTGGATATACCCCACACTAGAGGGTGGTGGGGGGAGGTGAAAGGCCTCTGGGTGGAGGAGGCACCTCCTCTTTTAACCATCTGGGGATAGGGTTACCAGGTAGACCTCCCCAAAATACAGGACACACTTGATCGTGGGCGGGGGGGGGAGAGGGACTGGCTGTGAGGAAGGCAGGCGGGAGGCAGGGCTAGCGGGGCGGGGGGGGATTGGGGGCCGCAGGGT